GAAAAAAAAAAACCATTTTGGCAATTTTGAGTTCGGTGCCCTGACCTGCTGAGTTTGTTGAATTCCCTTTTGTTGTGCAGTATGACTCCACTCTTTGTGCAAGGTGCTATGTTCGAGGCAACTTTAGGGTTGGTCTCAGCAATGCTGATTTCAGGCGGGTAGAGATCACTGATGAACCTAAGGCAGATTGGTCGGAAAAAGAGACCTTGCTGCTTCTGGAAGCCATTATGCATTATGGTGATGACTGGAAGAAGGTTGCACAACATGTTGGTGGTAGGACTGACAAGGATTGCGTAGCTCATTTCGTTAAGCTTCCTTTTGGGGAGGAATTTCTTGGTCATCCATCCTCTGACGAGGCTGAATCTGGATTTGAAACCAATAAGAGGATGCGCCTCACACCTCTTGCTGATGCAAGCAACCCAATCATGGCTCAGGTACGTGTCTTTTGTTTTGTTTAACTTGAAGCACAAAGGAAGATGGGCTGGGAATTACTAAGCTAAGATTTGGGCTCATGTACCCACTTTTGTGCTGCCATAATTTTAATTACAAGTTTTTACTGCCTGGCTGGCAGATGCTTAACTTGTTTTACGCTAATGCCACAATTCAAGGAGTTTGTTGAGTTCTAGTGAATATCTCAAGTACCTGCATAAACTTATGGCAACATAAACTCAACCATAATTTTGACACCTGATCTGTACTGCATGTCAGTGTGGCTATTTTTCTTATTTTTTGTATTGCTCCATTATGTGTTTTGAGAGTAATGGGGATTAGGATAATGCTGAGGCTGATATTAAACAAGTCACGGCTGTGGCCTGTAGATATACAGCAAGTACTTTGAGAGGAAAGGGCTGCTTAATAACCTTGGCTGTAGCCTGTATGCAAAGATTTAACAGATTATAAGCATTGATTTTGATACACTAAAGTTGATATTCCTTTTGTTTCAATACACCAATTATCAGATGTTGTTGATGCAGTTTATTTTTAGTAATAAATGTTTGACCCTTGCAACATTTTTCAGGCTGCTTTTCTGTCAGCTTTGGCTGGTGTGGAGAGTGCAGAAGCTGCTGCCCGAGCAGCTGTTACCACTCTATCCGAGATGGATGACAACACCGCTAGCAAAGGGGGCCGTGGATCTTTTGCAAGAAACACAAGACGAGGTTGGTTTTACACATACTTCAAGCAATTGGGGATTTACTTGTGAAGTTGGATCCATCCCAAGATTGGATCTAATACTTGGGATTTATTGGAGGTGTCACCTTATTTAATTCATATTACGAGTGATTCATGCATTGCCTTTTATTACTTGAGAAAGATCATCTAGCATTATCTGCATATGGTCCTTTAAAAAGAGGTGCTGCCCTGACTGTTGCAATTTTCTTCTTGAGAGTTGATACTGGCATTTGGCTGAGGCTTTATTTCTTTGTGGTGCAGAAGCAGACGTTTCATCTAATGGTGACACCAACCCAAATGCATTGGAAAGAGCATATGCAGATGTGAATGCACTGCTTGAGAAGGAAGAACGTGACATTGAAAGAGCTATAACTGGGGTTACAGAAGTGCAGGTATGTAAGAGTTTTAAGATAATCCATGTCTTGGATGTTAAATTTGTAAATTATTTACTGAATGTCCTGAGTTTTGCAGATGAAAGAGATCCAAGATAAGATTCTTCACTTTGAGGAGTTGGATTTGCAGATGGAGAAAGAGTTTGCACAATTGGAGGGGATTAAGAATCTACTTTTTGTTGACCAGCTAAATCTCTTATTTCGTAGAAGTTATGCATTGAAAACTGAAGAACGAGTGGTGGAGAATGTAAAACCAAATGTTTCATAATCAGTGTATGTTCAAGCTTTAGCCAATAGAGAAATTGTTTTGAATTTCAATGAAATTACCTGCCAATGTTTTAGAAATACGTAGGCCAATGTCAGTACGTAACCCACCCTGGTTAACCCAGTTCAACGATAAACGAAATGTGTATTAAAACATAATAGCAGGACAGTACAGAAAGAAGTGCTGGTCTTATAATTTTCTTAGCTTTGGGTAGAATGGTTTTTTAAGTCTGGTGCCACAGAAAAAATTCAGAAGTGGATTCCAAAGTTGATTGCTTAGGAAAACAGATTCATCAGTCGCCACTCGTAAAGAATAATGAAAGCCTTCAAATATTATTGATCAAATTTCAAACGTGAGACAATGCCTCACGGAAAGTGTCTCCATCAGTAGCTGCTTAACAAATGACATGCATCACAACCTAAAGAGGATCTGCAGCACCACTGTGTAAAACCATGGCTCTGCCATCTTATTCCGCAACTGTTGTGTCAAATGAATCTGAAGGATGATACAGCCTGCAAGACCAGATAACTCGAAATTCAGCAAGGAGATGTAAAAGGCAACTATGAGATTCATCAATTCTCTATTGTAGAAATATAGCTAACGATCATGCCACAATAAGGTTAGTAATTGGTTCATGCAATTTTCAGAAAGAAATAACGAGATACAGAGCCGTAGCCAGGGGGCGCTTTCTTTCTCTTATTGTAGAATTGGAATTAATATCCTCTCAACTGGAAGATGCAAAAAACTTATAGCTTTCTATTTTATGTTGACTAGAGCTACCTTCTCAATTCTGGAACCATATTTCTCTGCCTCGTCATCCACAAACTGTGGCAAATGACATAGATAGAGGAATCAAAGAATCAGAGTAGATACAAAGAAAGAAAAATGACATTGCATATTTGGTAATAAAAGAACCTTGTGTAACTGAATTGCATATATTTCATGTAAGATCACCTGTCCTGTCACAGTGTACAATCTGTTGTACCAACCATTTGATGCCATTCCAATAGCTGAAAACAAATGTTTTCGACTTTCGCCCGGATTTTGCAATGTGTACTCAATATAGTAGAAGCCTGATCAATGGTTAAAGGAAAAGTGATTAGTCAAGTAGAGAAAGGACCTCCCTTGGGAACGGGATCTATCGTAAGTACTGTCGACAATTTATTCTATGTACATGAAACCAAGTCTAGGCGATTTCAATCATGAAAACATGGATCCTAGGTGAATTCATCTCCGCTAAAGCTCACGTGTCTTGACTCTCGAGCATGTTTAATGTCATCTGATCCATATAATATTACTACGTATTGGTTCATGGCAACGGATGGTCTTGAATAATACGATTACCATTAGCAGCTTTGCAATCTATGAGTTTCGCTGCCACACCTGGGGGCCTTTGCCAGCTCCTGTCCAATCCACTGACCTGTAGGAGATGCAGTTAACAATGTATGGTTAAGCATAATAAGCTGAAAACCCTTACGTAGAAATCATGAAACTTTTGGTGACGGATTGGAAGCTGAGGAGCCTACCAGAGTGTCTGCAAAGGCTTCAACTTTGCCAAAAGATTCCATTCTAGTAAAATCCGGACCAAGCCCCGTGATCACTACGCTGACTGAAGCAACCAATCTAGAAACTAAAATTCTTGAATACCTAAACAATCAAAGAAAAAAAAGAGATGGAACTACCAGGAAACTCCGAGAGTACCATTTGAGTTCGCAGCTTCTTCCTCTGGAAAGAAAGCTGTAATGGACTTGAATCCATTTGGTTCTCCAGCTCCTACTTGCCAATCTGCATGAACAACCACATGTTGAGCTACGTATAAGTTGCAACATTAGCACCAGAAAGATTTTCCCTTTTTGATAATTTTAAATTAATAGTGGCACAGTCTCTGAAATATATGAATTTGATTCTGTACTGTAAAGATTACTTTTCTTATTTAAGTTGAACAGCATTTCACAGAAACTTGAATATTCCAATTGGGTTTTCCATGCCAATAGATGCAAACATGTAGATTGGGTAAAATAAGGAAAAGACTGACTCACCTTGGGGAATAAAAATCTTGAACTTATTCACGTCATCAGTATAAGCTCGGAAATCTTGTGGCACATCTGGTTCTGAAAACAGAGAGAAACAAACAATGTAATCAGAATTCAGAACAAACACTAAGGCTCCCACGAAAATTAATTAAAAATTAATACGGGATAGAAGAAAGGAAGAATAAGTGTGTATATATATATAGTACTAGCCACCTTTCCCTGCGACTGCATCAGACACAAATTGCGGAAAAGAAAAGGCAATAAGCGGCGCCTGAAGCATAATTTGTCTTCTTCTGGTTGCATGTTCATGTCCATGCCCATCTTCTTTTACTTCCTGAACGCGGATACTGTGACACATGGAGGCAATAGATGTAAGATAGTCATAGATAAACAAGAATTAATGGGAAAATCAGGAAGTGAAAGGAGCAAACTATGGCTAATTAGAAGCTGAGTAGTACAATGGTTTCTTCTTCTCTTCATGCTGCGGGCGGTAGCTGTTGTAGCAGCAGAAAAGAGGCTGCTTTCTACTGTTGCTATTACTTCTAGTAGTAAGAGAACCGGTACTTACAATAACGCCTGAAAAAAATCAAATCAAAGCAGCATGTAAGCAATTTAAAAAGGAGATTAGACAACAGATAAGATTGTCTGTCGAAGTACAAGCAGAAGGTAATAGTATATCAGATAAAAAAGAATTTTGGAGTTGGGAGGTAGTCAGGTCTGGTAGTAGCAGACCTTTCTGGTTCAAACAAGATGAGATGTAGCAGCAATGCAGCGATGAAACAGACACCATTCCTTTTAGCTTTCCAGGATTTTATTTTATCTGCGTCATCCATTCTGTTGGGTTGGGTTGGATTGGGTCTTATTCCAGGCTTTCAAACTCCATGGAGTATCTTTTTTCTGTGCCTCAAAAAATAAAACAAAAATGGTGATCAAAATTGATTGCCATTAGTGTCTCATAGTGAAAGCACTTACTAGTTAGTGGTTACCAATCTACTGATGAGAGTTGGGTAAATCAGAAAATCAAACGACTTTGGTCATTTACTTTTGTCTTTTTCTTCAATCTAAAATGATTCTGTTTTAATAATGGGTTGTGCAGTAGACGTGGCCGACCAAAAATTGTGGCCCAGATTTGCATTTAACCTGCTGTGACCATGTCTCTGTCAATTTCTAATCCTTCTTTTTTCATTGGAGAAAGATGGGTGAAATCAATTCTCCTTGGGACTCAAGCAGATGCTGTCTCTGACAAAAATTTCACCCAAATCTTGCAAGTACAACTGCTTCCAGCTTCTCCATATCTTGCCACCAGGCTCAATTCTCCAACAGGTTTTTCAGTCCAAATACAAAAAACCTAGTAAGTTAAATAAAAAAAAAAAAGGAAAAAACCCAGTAAGGTGAAGCTAGGGATTAGGGATAATTAAGTTTGATTTGATTATTCACCAAATCATGTCTTTTGATTAACTTTTTATTTACAATTGAAAGCAGACAACTAAAGCTTTCCATTCCAAATTCACTTTGCCATTTATGAACCACCTTTTCGGGACACCAAAAGACCAAAATTGATTAACTAAATTAATAAACTTAATTTATTCTTTTTTTCTTAATAAACCCAATTTCTGCAAGCGTAGAAGAAAAGGGATTGATTAGAATGGGGTGGAAAGTGTGATGAAAAGCTGCCCATGGTTAAATAATTAGCCAGAGTTTTGAATATGAAATCTTGGGTTTTCATATTCAATTATGGTATAATTGTGTTCATGGACCAACTACTCTTTACCAACCAACCCTTGATCCAAAATTTTGATTGGGTAAAAATATAAAATATTTAAAATTAGAATTCAAAATATAATATTTATATGCTATCAATTACTTACAAGATATCGATTTATAAATATATAAAAGTAAAAATTTTAAAAAATTTAATATAAATATTTTAAAAACTGACAAATATTTTAATTTTTAAATTTATTTATTAACAAAATGATAACATACATAAAATGTAAATTCAATTTAAAAACAAGTAAGAACATTTTTAAATTGAGATTTAGAGACAAAAAAGATCACATGAAGAATGGAATAATCACCCATCCAACTGTACAAGTAGCCAAACTAATTTATTATTATTAAAAATTAGAGTTATGATGAAGATAACTTGAAAAGGCCAAAAAGAAAAAATAAGACGGAAATTACAAAACTGACATAAATCTTGCCGCTACCCAAAGGGGTTTCAATGACACCGTACTCGCTCTCCTCGATTTACAACTGGAATCTGAAGGGAAAGTTTAAAGCGGCAAATTGCGTGGTATTTAATTGCAGCGAGTACGGAGAGTGCAAACGAGTGGAGTCGTAGAGGATTGGTTCGGGGAAAAAAAGGGAGCGAGCGGGCAATGAAGGCGTTGGAGTAAATGCAACTAAATATATTAATATATTAATTATCTTTTTGGTACGAAGGGCAAAGCAAATTAGGATTGCTTTAACCTGCTTTTTTTTAAACAGTAAAGGACGCAAGGATTAAAAAGGGAAAACCAAAAAAATTATAAATAAATATCTGAAATAAAATATACTAAAACTAAATATTCAGATTTCTCGACATTTTCCTTTGAAAAAGTCATTTGCAGCGACTCTGCTTTTTCCGTTCGCAAGCCCTAAATTTTCCTTCTCTTTCGTCTCCTTTATCTCTGATTTTTTCCCTATTTATTGGTAAGTTTATTGCCATTTTTCGGGTTTTTTCCCCAGCTTTTTCCTATTTTTCTGTGTTTTTATGGGATATATATTTATATATATTACGTATTTATTTTTCTAAACTGTAAATTTTTGAAAAATTGAAAATTGTCTGTAAAATTGTTCCTCTCTGTACAATAAAGAAATTTCGTTTGGTTTTTAGCCATAATTAAAAAGGTTGCAGATTGATCTTGTCAGAAACATGAAATTGAGCGTAGGCTTTAGGGATTTAAAACTGAAAGGATTGCTTGCAGCTATTAGGGTTTTAATTTGGCGTCGAGTAGATTCTATGTAGATTTCACCCTGGGATTTAAGAGTAAGCTTAGCTTGTTAGACTCATGTTTGAGTGAATTTCGAAAGCTAGCTCAGCTCAGCTCCTCCAGCATCAAGTTGAAAATTGGAAGTCCTTTTTTTTATGCAATCATTTCCAAAAATCTGTACTTGAAGTTCCAGTTCCAGTTCCAGTTCGAGTTCAAGCTAAAGTTAGTGAGAGTGCAGTGCAGTAAACAGTGAGTGAGTTCTGTTTTCAACAATCATTATTATGAGTCAGCATCAGTGTAACATTTCATATTTTCAGATTATGTTTTTTATTTTTTGCTGTTCAAGAAATTAGATTTTCTTCTTCTTCTTCTTCCTCTGCTTCATGATCTAAAATAGACAAGAGGGAAGGAATGATCTGGAAAAGTCGTAATTTGATTTTTGTTGGTGGGCAGAGTTGTGGGGGTGTATGGAATTTTAGTACACCAACCAGATTAAGAGAAAAATGTCGGGATCTGAGACGGGAGTGATGACGAGTAGAGAGCCCTACAGCGTGGGCATGCAACAGAAGAGTCCGGTTGCGTCACAGCCGGTGATACAGAACATGCGTTTAGCCTTTAGTGCAGACGGAACAGCTGTGTACAAGCCCATCACTGCCTCGTCACCCACATACCAGGCGGCCTCCAGCGCTGGCGGTGGGGCCGAGGGGTCCACAGCTGGGCCCCAGGTGACTCAAGGGCAAGCTCTGAACATGAACATGGGGAGCGAGCCTTTGAAGAGGAAGAGAGGGAGGCCCAGGAAGTATGGGCCCGATGGGACCATGCCGCTAGCTCTTATATCGGCTTCTTCCTCTGTCAGCGTAACCCAATCTAATAGTGGAGGATTCTCTTCGCCTTCTGCTGCTGCTGGTGCTGGTGGTGGTGCTCCTCCTCCGCCATCAGGAGGATCAGCTTCCTCACCAACTTCAACGAAGAAAGCTAGGGGAAGACCTCCAGGTTCTGGCAAGAAGCATCAACTTGAAGCCCTCGGTACTCTCTCTTGCTACAGAGATGTTTTTAATCTTTAATGAATGTTTTTGCCTTGAAATTTGAATCCACGACTACGTGGGCTTGTTTCCTACGTCTGCCCACTAGGCGTTAGGATTTCATTTTCCTGCTTTTTCTTCTTGTTATTTTTTTCCCGCTCTTTATATGTGGATACCACGTGACGGAACTGGGAATGTTTGAGATGTTTGCTTAGACACTTAGACACTGATGGTGCAAGTCCAGTTTTTAAGTATTTTCTTTGAAGTACAACTCATGATATTTTTTGTTTTGTGTTGGTTTTAGGAAGTATTAGCTTTGGGTTCTGACTTCTGACAGAGGATGGAATAGTCGCTGCTGAGTAATTATATAAAAAAAGGGAATAAAAATATACATGCGTGTGTGTGTGTTTGTGTTTGTGTGGACTGTGGGATCACTCTGTGTCTGTAACATAGAAAACGAAATATGGTTTTGCTGGAACTTAGTTGGGATCTGTTCGATCTGACTTCAGATTCTTATCTTGCAAATTTACTTGCATGCCCTTGCTGCTTTTCTCTGTTTCTTCTTCCCACTCTTGCCCCTTTCCAGTTTTTTCTCTTATCTTCATATTCTCTTATTTTAAAGCATGTTTTAACGCTGGTAGCAACTGGCGACTAATGTTTGACACAATGTACACTTATAAGATATATTATATATTTTTTAATTCTCAAATATGTTTTTCTTACCTGATTAATACTGAAATAATTCTAGTTTGTCAGCTATGATTGCAGCTTTCTTGTTAATAAGAAAGATTTTTGTTCCTTTTTCTCCATAATTTCTTTTCCAAAATAAAACATACATTTTAGTTTGTCATTCTCCTAAAATAAAATTATAAACCAAAAGTTTTGAAGCCAGTGCTATCTTTGTATTTGTGTTTATAGGGCGACACATTTTACTTAAAAGAGTTTTCTTTTTGCAGGATCAGCAGGAGTTGGGTTTACGCCCCATGTTATCACTGTTAAAGCTGGAGAGGTTTCTCTTGCTCCATTATATTTTTATTTTCCAGTTTTCCTGATTTATGTAGAAAAGTTCTTCTTGTTGCTTTCAAACTTCACAATAAGTTTTTTTTTTTTTTTGCTCAGTATTCGCAAGTGTTAATTACTTTAGCAGGTTACTTTTAATGCCATTTATTAATAATGACATGTTCATCTTGTTGTTTAATTCAAATATTTGTGTCATGAATTGCTAAAATATTTTCTCTACTTTGTTTTTGTATAGGTTTTTACTTGCAGTTATTTCTTTGATCAGAGCCATACTGATTCAGGAGAGAAGGGTTATGTCATTCATTCATTGCATTTTGGATGTGATTAAAAGAATATGCCAAAATTGGGGGAAATGATCATTTCCCAGAGATCCTTTTCTGACAACAGGAATTGATGACAACAACAAAGAAATAATTGAATAAATTTTAAAATTCGATAATGCTTGTGATTTGGCAATTTCAGAATATATATACAAGTGAAAATGAAGTAGTGCAAAAAGGGAAAGAAACCACATTTTCTTGATGATGATTTTTTGATCTGTTGACTTTCCGTAATGTGGTTGAAGATAAATCAGATTCTTGTTAATTCGATAACTGTACATACAACTACAGTTTTCTATCATTAAACTTTTTCATTTTCGATGTGAAGAACTATAATCCTTTGCTTCGCTGCAGCCTGGCACTCTGCATCATTCAAAATTTTACTGTGCTTTTCATTATGCAAACATACATATGCAATATATTTGCTGTTTCCTTAATATAACACTTGTAGTCCATTGAACGATCTGAAGCTTACTTTTGATGTCTCTGCCTGGTTCCAGGATGTATCATCAAAAATAATGTCTTTTTCTCAGCACGGTCCAAGAGCTGTTTGTATCCTATCAGCAAATGGAGCCATATCAAACGTTACTCTTCGCCAACCAGCAACATCTGGCGGGACTGTAACTTATGAGGTTTGTGATAAGTAATAATGTCTTTTATTGCTGTCGCCTTTAGTTTTAGGATTTATATTTACACATCTAAACACTTCTAAACTGGTTTAGAAATTGAGGGCTTTACCGCTTACCTCTGGAAGTTTCATAAAGGCAAAACTGTGTTTTTTTGTTCGGATAACTTAAAACTTTATTTATCCAAAGAAAGCATTGAACCCTGCTACAAGGAGGAACTTACTGCTAGAAGCAGGAACAACAAGTTCCACTAAGTACAAAAATCAAATTATCATAGGTCTCCATCTGTGGCAAAGATTATTGTTGACTTGATCCCTGGCAATATTACTCTTAACGACCAAGTTTCCATTGAATCAGCATATTTATCGTAAGTAGTGATTTTTTGGTTGTGTGAGAAGGAGTTATATATTGGCATCAAGACCATCAACCCGATATGTCCATCGGAAGCAATATGCGGAAGTGGATTTACTGTCAGCATAGAGCAGAACTTGGTATATCTTAGTGCAATTGTTGTAGTGCTTCTGGAAGCATTGTTATACTACCAAAGATGTGCCTGAAATGAACTTTATTATGAAAATCAATTATTTCAAATGTATTAGTATTGTATTTGGGTCAACAATAGAATATAATATTACATATATTCCACAGTCTAATAAAGTGAAACCACAGCTTTACTATAAATATCTCATATTAATGACATTATGTTTCTTTCCCATTAATGGTGCAGGGGCGATTTGAAATTCTGTCACTTTCTGGTTCATTTCTTCTGTCAGAAAATGGTGGTCAGCGGAGCAGAACTGGTGGGTTAAGCGTGTCTTTGTCTGGCCCAGATGGTCGTGTTTTAGGAGGTGGTGTAGCTGGCCTTCTAACGGCTGCATCCCCTGTTCAGGTTTATTTTCTTTTACCATTTTTCATTTTTAATTGCTGCATTATTCTTTTGTAAAAATATATTTCATATTGCCTATATTTTCAGTCTTTTCAGAATGTTGCTGTATAGTATTATTCTCTGAATTGAACAATAGTGAATAATCATGTTAGCATTTCTACCACCTCAAGAAAATGATACATATTTTGTGATTGATGTAATCATTAATACTCCATTAAACATTAGTCTTATTAAAAAAAACTGTAAGATTTAAATATAAAAAGATGAAAGTTAAAAGCCTTTTTCTTTAATATGCATACCTGGTCAAATATGAACATTTATTTGAGATGGATGGAGTTTGTACAATTTTACATAGCTATATGCACATACGTATCCGGTAAAGATCATACAAGTCACTCAATCCATGGAAGAAGACAAGGGAGGAAGAACAGTTAGGGGTGTTGTTGGTGGCTTGAAGCCATTAAAATTTGACAACGTTTACTACTATGTCAACTGTCAAGTAGGCATTTTGGAAGGTGGAGTAATGCCCACTGCCTCCCATAGTCTTTTATCTGCGAGCTGTCTGTCTCTGTCTCTCTCACCACTCTAAAATCAAAGATGTGAATGTATTAGAAGTGTTGTGTAAAACGTAAGTCCCACTGCTGCTATTGGCTTCTGCTTCCATACATTACCGACTAAATTTCACATGACTTGCTGATATTGTTGAGCTTCCCGTTCCTTGCAGGTGATTGTGGGTAGTTTTATTGCAGAAGGTCGGAAGGAACCAAAGTCAGCATACCAGATGGAACCCCAACCTGCCCCAGCGAAGCTTGCTCCAGGTGGTTTGCCGACGGGGGCTACCAGCCCACCATCACGGGGTACTCTAAGTGAATCCTCAGGTGGGCCCGGTAGCCCACTCAATCAGAGCACAGGAGCCTGCAATAACAATAACCCACAAGGCATGTCAACCTTGCCATGGAAGTAAAACCTGCTTACATTTTGTAGTCTTCAGCTAATTGCGTAGTAGGCACGGGCTCGTGTTGTGTTAGTATTCACCATAGGCAGGCAGGCTTGAGTTTGTAATTTAAGCATTGTGTAAGTGAAGTAGAATAATGCGTTATCTTGTACTTTGTGACCCCGTTGCTAGATAGCTAGAAAGGGCTGTTTGGGCTGACGGCTGAGGGGATGCTCTTTGCACTTGTAAGGTGATGTTAGAAGTTAGAGAAAAAGGCCATGCTCTTTGGTGTTTTAGACTGAGATGGTGAGTTAGTTTGACTTCCTTTTGTCTTTCTGGTAGTTGCTTCTTTCGTTGCCCATCACAGTTAACTAGTGTAATTTATCTGTTTCTCCATTCATCAGTATCAAGTTGATATTGATGCTAGTTGAGCTCAGCTGGGGATTTACTTATATGTGGACGATGGGTGATGATGCTTTCAATGTTAAATGCTAATTTGCCATTGTTGTCCTTTCCACTGAGCTCTCATATGCATTTCTATTAGAGACATAATTATTCCTATATCTGATTGCCATCCAAAATAATTAACCATGTTGCAGATGCAATCGAACATCTCTCTATCTCGGAGAATTATAAAAAAATTTATTATTGCCCCACATTTCTGTACCATTACCTGAAAAACTCCATTTTTAAGAAAATTGTTTACCCCAACCTGTTTAATTTTTCCCTTTCATAACCACTTACTCTACCAAGAATGAAGTATTTTGCACCACAACTACACTAGAATAACACACAAAAGCAATGCCTACACTATTTTTTCGCTCTCTTCAACAACAATCGTAATGAGGGAAACCCAAGAGCAAATGTCTGCCAGAACCATCCTCTCGCATTAACAGGATCCACTCTCTTTGCCAGGTACCATGCGTATATGGCTTCTCCAACATGTACTGCAGTAGCTAAGCAAAATGCGAGCCTTATTCCATACATTGACCGGAAGAGGAAAAGACCGACAGATCTAAGGAGTGGCACAGGTCCTATGGCCGGGAACCAACCACTAGCAAAAAGTAAAATCATTCCGATCACAACAAATCCCCATGTATATATTGTAGGTCCGTCCAAACTTTTCTTTTTCCTATCCTGCCAGTATGAGATAGTTGCAGCCATGCCTTCACGAGCACTCACCATTGGAACATACCCAAGCTCACGCTGCGCTTTAAGGAATGAGAAATAATGGGTAACACCAACCTGTCAACATACATCAGGTTCATCAAACATGATGCTGTACTGGGAAATTGTGATACCAACTAAAATTCTTATTTATCATATTTCATAGAAAAAAAAAAGAATTTATTTTACACCATTTGATGAAAGAAAAAATATAAGAAAACACCAACATTTTTGCTAGGCAAAATCAGAATATATCATTACGTGTTTATCCATGGGGCTTTCCTCCAGGTGAACCAGGGAAAGGACTGCCAAGGGAAGGGTGGAACCAAATATTAAACAAACCTTATGTACTTCAGCAGGAAGAATGAAGGGCTCAGGAAGCCACCACCGATTCAAAAATGGATATAACATCGTGTATACAGCCCAGAAAATCTTTGCCAGAATGAGAGCATGGGAAACAGCAATCCAGGACTTTGGTAAGTCATAATCCAAACTTCTTAACAATGGTTGGATAAATTCGAAGGTGTTGATTGGAGACCCTGCGAAAGCAGATACAATTATCTAAGAAAATAAACTTAGCATTGTACCTCATGTCTTAAATCTTCAACTTAACCCCATAAATAGTCAAAATGGTTAAAAGTGTTACAGCAAATAGTTCTGCATAATTTATGGGGGGGAAAAAAGAAAAGAAAACAATGAATTGATCACTATTGATTACCATCAGATATGAAGTATGGCTGCCCAGCTGCAACTGGCCCTTCTTTTCCAGGAATGTCATCTAAAAGTCCCATGCTTGCCAATAGCAGCGCAAGTACCAGGTTATCCACATAAACCCAGTCTGATTTCACATTAGCATCACCTATTTTGAATGGAACCAAACCCAACTTTGCCAGAGATACTATTCTTGGAAGGTGTCGCTCTTCACCTGGTCCGTATATAGCAGCTGGACGAACCACACAGGTATAAAGACATTTTCCGATATTCTTCCTGTGCAGCAAAGAATTGTCCATTTAATTCATTTGTTGTTGTAAGCAGAAAATGGTGCAGAAAGCCACAGTCAGCAGCCAACTTCAGTATTCAAACTTGTTGGAACCAACAATTAATCTTAGATTATCCCCTTACTCATCATTTAAGTATATTCCACATTCATATCAACTGATAACATCATATAAGTGTAAATTATAAACTCAAAAAGATTTCTTGTACTATTTTATTCATGCCTAAATACAAGTTAGCTGAAAAGATTATGGGATTTGAGAATTCTTCCATTTTAATTTACTTACTTAAAAGGGCGACCATTGTACTTAAGAACCAACTGTTCAGCAATTGATTTACTTCGCCCATAGGGATCAACATGATCATCAATAGGGAAATAGGGCAAGGCTTCATTGCCATTCACAATCTCCTTTCCCCCAAACACAACATTATATGTGCTGACATAAACAAGCCTTCTGATCCCCAATTCAAGGCAAGCCTCCAAGACATGGCAAGTTCCATTAATATTGACCTCATCAACACGACCAAACTGAAGCATTTCTTTCCCTGACATGCCATATGAAGCCAGGTGGAAAACACAATCGGCACCTCGGAGAGCATTATGAACATCCTTTTTCAGGACAAGATCGCCTGTTGTAACACAATTTGAGGCAGGTAAGGACCCAAAACAAGAAATCTATTTAAAATAAATTGAAGGCACACATGACATAGGTAACTCCTGGTATCCCAAAACTGGAAATTTAAGGTTTCCCCCAAAGATATACGGCATTGTATAAGCTTTACGCCTAGAATACTTCGATCTAAGCTAGTTTAAAACCTTATAGCATATTTATAATTACAGGAAAGCGAGCAACTCAGTAATTAAAAAAAAATTAGAGCAAATTCCAATAGGAGTAGTGAAGTTTTCAAACTGAATGAAGCCTCATCGACCATGGAACAAAAAAGGTCCAAGCTGTAGTAAACGAACAATCAAGGAGTGGCAACCTGAGTTAAGGTTAATTTTCTATTGAGTATCAAAAAGCAGAACTAGGAAATTTCGGGCTAAAATCATCCATTTCACGGATCCATGATAGAAAATTTATCCCCTTTTCTTCTTTTCTTTCTTTCTTCCTTTTTTTTTTTTTTTTGTCAAAAAGGTCGTAGAAGCCGATGCAAGATTAGAAGGCAATTAGAGGAAAAGGCGAACCTTGGATGCAGCGGACACCGTGGTTGGTGAGGTTGCCGGACCAAGGAGAATGAGGTCGGAGGTCAAAGGAACGAACCTGGCGAGCACCTCTCCGCACCAGCTCCAAGCACAGAGCTGAGCCCACGAACCCCAGCCCACCCGTCACCACGAACGTGTTCCCGTCGATGCCTTCATTTTCGCTCAAGTGCATTGTTTTTCCTTCTATCAATTTTTAGTTTCTTCTTTGTTACTTCCTGGATGCCAGGGCAGGCAGGCTCAGGAGTCAAGCTGTGGGATGGGGGTGACTACTTATTTAGTCGTCCTTGACTAATATTTATAGCATCGCGCGGACCGATCGAGGGAGTCAGCTCTGCGCAAATTACACAATATGACATCAAAGTTCCAATTTTTCCAAACAGAATGCCCCAAAAGCTTTATTTTTTTTTTCCTATCAAATTTTCTCGTCAAAGGCACTCACTTCTTGTTTTTATTCTTATACTTATTATTAACCCTTTGACATTAAAGTTCAATAAAAATACAATATTAAAAAATTTTCAAGCCATTAGTTTTTATAAAAAAATTATTAAAAAAATTTAAATAAATATTTATTTTTTTAATATGTTTAATTAAATTTTTATATTAAGTAAATTTTTATAAGTAAAAGTTAACTAATAAATATCTCTTATTATTTGATATCATGTTGATATAATATATTAATATATTAATATATTATAATAAATAATAATATATTATATTAATATAATCATAAAATATTTTTATTTTTTATATTAAATGTCATATCAATATTATGTAAACATAAAATGATAAAATAATATTTTTATTTTTGATAATTAATCAACTATGAATCATAATAATTTATTTGATTTAAAATTAAAATACATAAATTTAATTAAATATAATTAAATAATAAAAATTATTCACATTTTTTAAAATAATTCAGAAGCTACTACTAAAAGGCGACAAACTACTTGCAGCAGAACAGACAAGACAAAAAACAGTCAAACAAACATGGGCGGAATCGAAAATTTTATATTTGTTAACACTCAATGTCATTCTCCTTGTTAACTAAGAAACTGTCAAGCAGTACCAAGCCATCTAGATATGCTTTTTTTCGGTAATGTCATTCTTTATATTTAAGGGTAATGTGGTGAAGAGAATCTAGTCTAGCTGTAAAGTGTAATACTCGTGAAAACAAGTTTGCCAAGGTACAAAGTTTAGGAGTTTCATGTAGTATATCAAGAACCATCATCACTGAACAAGTGAGTCTTCCTTTGTAAAAGAAAGAAAAAGGGACAGAAGTTGATGAAAAATGCAAACATAAACCACAACCTTGGTATGTAATGTAATTTGATGTGATCCCACAAAGGGAAAGAAAGGGAAAAATAAAAAGGAAAAACAGGAGAAATTGAAACAACAAAAGGTAGCCTAGAAGAAGTTGAAGTTGTTGAATCTGAAACTGCCATAACTAGCGGTGGCGACGGTATAAGCATTAAGAAGCTCATTGTGAGCGGACCAAAAGTCTGCTTTTAAACCACCTCTCCTGATGGCTTTGAGGACTTTGTTCCGGTGTGCATATCCTGTGACCACCACCTTCTGACTGTTGGCATCCACTTCTACTTTCTCTATCCCTGCCCATCGACATGCAACAGGGATCAATTAAGACAAATTAAGATTGCATCAACGTGTTTTTAACATGCAAGTGTTCGGCCTTAATCAGAGACAACATTCTTTCTTTGTTTGGTCGAGAATCAAGTAGATTTAACCAAGAAAAAAGACTAAAAATTTGCTTGCTCCATAACATATAGCAAACCAGAAGTTACCTTTCAGCTTTGAGAGGCATTTTCTGAGTCTTTTCTCATGTAAGCCAACCATCTCCACCTTCAATTCGACGGTCTGCAGAACAGAACCATATCGCACACATGACATAACTTCTTGGAAAACGAATATGCAAATGGACACCTACATAGAGAAGAGAGCTTCCTAGGATTCTATTTTCAGATTGCTATAACCCCTTCTAAATGATCAAGGAACATCTAATATTCCATAAAACTTGAGACAATTTCAGCTTATAGTCGTAGGAGTTCAAGTTACCAAAATCAGAATTATTTAATTGAGGGATAGTCTCACAATGTTACAAGAAAAAGAAAAAGAAAACATTACCAAGTTAAGCAAAAGAAAATAATATTCTACCTCCATCAACAACTCTGCTTTCTCGAAGATTTATTGATGATTGCAGCAATGATGTGAAGGGAGCAGTAGAAAAGAAACAAAAGCAATGGTTTATAACAAACAACTGGAATGATGTGTTGTGAATGAATGAAACAAATGGAGAATGTCAGGTTATATATATGTATATATACAGCAGCGGGGACAGATAAAAAGATGGAATATAAACATTAAAGTGGGGCTTTGAGGTCTTGGGTCTGCTACGAGAACCACCAATGATCTGCTTTGGTTTGCTTTTTGGAAAGAGATGCAAATAGCCGGCATAGAAAACCTGATAACAAGAAAACGGTTACATCAAGAGAGGGGCTTTTGTGCATGACCTGTGAGCTCGAGCTTCAAGAATCAAGACTCCAGAGACTCACGTCTGCCCAAAGCAATGTGAGTCTCAAGCATTTGAAATGATTGGGTTTGACGAGTCCAACTTATCTTTTCTTTGTTTGGATTGTCTTTTTAGGAAAACAAGCTGACACTGTCCACTTATGCCAACAGTTTGGTTCTGATCTTCTGAAGTGGGTCCAAAGCAGATGAATCTTGCATCGCAAACATCTCGCAAATCTGCATAGTATTTTATATGTTCAAGATAAAGTGTATTCGTTTCTTATCACGTACCTCTCCTCATATATCATTATAAGTTGCTGAGTGGAAAAAGTAAAAGTGAAAAAGAAAACGAGAGAAACAACTTGCTCGGCTTCAAGGGGAAAAGGAAAGGAAAAAAATTATACAGCAAGTTTGGTATTTCCAGGGAAGTGTAGCTTTGCGTAGTATACTTACCTGCTAAATTTTTCAAGTATCTGCTGAAAGGGCAAGGCAGTTAGTCTTACGATATTGCCCAGCATGCATGCACCCTGGCCTGGTTACAAGCAATGGTTTATGGTGAGGGTTTGCAGGACCAATTATGTCTCTATTTGACTACTCACTTTGCAGCGATGGTGCCATCGTTGAAACTATAAATCCTGATCAGGAGTTAGAACTTACTGTTGTTAAGTTGTTTCCAACATTATATATGTAAGCTTTATATTAAAACAGTGTATCAGCATGAATTCAGCAGCTTGAACTTCTCCCAGGGCCAACAAAAAAGCAAATTAAGTGATGGATAGATGGAGCCCATAAAGATTCAAACCAAGATGCTTGGGAACAAATGCATTGGAATCTGGAATATCTCGCGAATTTCCATCTGTGTTTTTATCGAGAATCATCACATCTTTGATCTGTCAGATTTGGTCATAGGTTGCCCAGCTTTTTTGAATCGTTTTAGGCCATTTGGTCACAACATTTACCTTTTCTTCTTGTTGCTCTCTCTCATCAGCTCATTCCTTGATAGGGTCCTTAGCTTTGAGAAGAAGCTAGTATACTAGTATTTGTATTTTTATTAAGGTAAGAAAAGCATACATATGGACCTGGAAATAGTATGCAATTATGATTATACTAGTAACATGAAGAAGGCGTTTAAAACACGAATGGATTGAGCATTGGAGATTGAGGGCAGGGGGTGCATTTCGGAATTGATAGTAAAACAGGTTGAGATGAGGGGAAAATTCCAATAGCGAGAGACATTATCCTGCTGCGTGCAAGAGGAGTTCATATTATTGCCAAAAAGAAAAACAAAACAGATAAAAAAGTTCCAACACAATACCAGGACAAAGCATTCTATCAACCACTTGTAATGAATAGTTTTGCGGTTAACTTTCTTATAAGCACTAATTCGTGCCAAATACTCAGCTTAGATGTTCAATTTAAAGCGGATGATGGGCCAAAACTGGCCCAAGAAGTAGGAGAAGAAAGATAAACGGGGGCGGCGGTTGGGGCCGTCGAGGCAATGCTAACCATTTTTGAGAATGGTGGGGACAAGAAGTAGTTTCTTGGAGAGCCTGCATTTCTGTGTCCCCAGACTCCTGAGCCCACAACACTCTCCGCTGCCCTGTGCTTGTTTTACAACGTTGTCAGAGTGGAAGCTGCTTTCACCACATTTTTCCCTTCCAATCAAATATTAACATCAGTCTCTTCACTCTCCTGTTTCCACATTTGGATGAGGTAATCGTTACAACTTACAACTACCTCCGCCCCTCGTATATGCTTTGTTTCTTAATTTTCCTTTCAAATTTAGGGCTTTCTGTCCATGCCTATCACTATGATACTTCCTCAATGCTTGGTCTCCTGTCTAACTGTTGACTATTAGGTTAAAAATTTGAACTTTCCCCAAGCTGTTCATTTTGGTGATACCATCATCTAAGTGATAATGTTTAAGCTTTGTGTTACTTTGAGTTGCAATGCAATGTTATGCTTTCTGAGGAGGAGTGATGAGTATTAGACTTTATTTTAACTTGCAATAAGAATACATTTTCTAATACGTTTGCTTATTATAAGAATGAGCTCCATGGAATGCTTTCTCTGTACCCGCCTTTTGTTGGAGTGAAATAGAAGGGAATGACGTCGAGGACTGTAATATTGAATTCTTGGGAAAGAAACTCAATAGCTTGTATGAGCTTTCGTCTTTATTCAACTAAATAGACTGATGTTATACATTTATTGTGTAACAATTAAATAGGCTGATGTTATAACCAACTTCACTTGTGTAGGTATTTTCTGAGAGGGCTTTGGTTCTGGGAGAAGTTAAGCTTGGTAGCATGAATTTCTACGGGAAACATAATCACCCCAAGGCACTTACTGGAATGCCATCTAGTGATCAGCGTTTTTTGCTTAACTTCATTATGAGCACTTACTTGGGCCCTGATGTCTACTCTGATAACCCAAGGCATTCAGCTTCACAAAGATTGGCTGAAGTTTTGCCACCGTATACTTCAAACAATCTGGTTCCTTCATTTATTAGCAATTCTCAGTTGGAGAGTTTGTACTACTATGTCCTGAGGCATGCTCATCCCAGGCTGGTTCAAGAACCAAATATGCTGCATTCATATCTACAAGGCAACTTACCTTTGCCAAGCTCAGAGTTATTAGAGGACTTAAGCCAGTTCACAAATTTTTTCCCTCTAGATATTCATGAGCATAAAAGATACTCAGTAAACAATGAGATCATCAAAGGAATTGTTCTTATTGATGATCCAGTTACATCTCACATGAGGGAAGATGTTGAAAGGTTCAAATATTTATCTGGTGTAGCTGATTTGAAGATTGACAAAATCAAATCTTTATCATATGAACATGGATATCAGAAAAGCAAAGATGATCAGAACAGCATGATAAACAGTGAGGAGAGAATTGCTGGATATATTACCAATGGATATGGTAATGCATCAGAAAAGTTTCAAGAAAACAATATGAGAAGGCACCAGTTGGACTCTATGCCAATGTCAGCTTTCCCCCCTGTCATGTCCATGTTAAAACATCTCGGTCAAGGAGCATTCAAGAGAACCTGTAAAAGGGATGGACCTGCCATGATGCCCCCCATTACTGTTCCAAATGTGGGCCAATGTTTTTCAGATGCATCCATTATCTTAAATGGGACTGCTAAAATGGGGATAGCTGGACCACCTATTGGTGTTTTGGACATTGGTGTCAGCAAAGTTGCATACTTCTTCAGAGTTGCTCTGACTGGAGTTAGGAAGGATTATTGTATATTTCTCTTCTTTCTAGTCCTTTTTTTTTGGTTCTAAAACATGCTGGTATGTTCATAGTAGGAAAGCCTCTTATAAGACTAAAGCATTATGGCACCTTCTTGTACTTAAGGTGATGTCAATTTATGTCGAAGGACAATAACAAGGTAAGAGAGCCAACATTTCCTTAATAAGATTATCTTACTGGTGCAAGGCTGTGAAGTTGCCCACTGTATTGTAAGAGTCACTATTTTCACCATTTATTTAGGGACCTTGATGATCAATTTGAGGTTTCCAACATATAGTGGTCATTGCTCATTGGTGAGCTTCAGCCTTCTGAGTTTCCCTCAAATACCCAGCAAGTTAGCGATGGGCAAGCACATTCTGGTATGTAATGATAAAAAGAATAAGTAATGGGCAAGCATATCCTGATCGGTATAAATTATTTTTTTCATTTTTAGAAAGAGAAACTGGAATGTTGTGATCTTGTAGCTTACAGTTCATTTAATTGTCTAAGTCATTAGAATTCATATTGATGCATCTCTTTGATCAGCAATGTGTATACACTGATCTTGATACTGCCACTCATTTGAGTGCAATTTCTCTGTGGTTTGATGTCTTCTTTATCTAATACCCTAGCCTCTCTCTTGCTGATCAAGAAAAAGAAAATATGAAAATAAAACAGTGTGGCTGACATTTGTTTGTGGATTCCATTAAAGCATATTGAGGTCCGGGGATTTGACCCAAACATGTGCAGAAAACATTCATAAGGAAATTCATGATTCTCAGTTTCAGTTTTTGCCTTCAAGTTTTTAGCAAATCCTGATTTTTGGGAATGGAACTATGACAGTCTCTCTCCTTAGGTTGTGTATGAATGAAAGTTTGTGATATTGTCCTGACAATTCTAGTCTAGCCACTGTCTCGGCTTACGAACCTTTTGTTAAAAGGATCATGCAGTAGCATTGCTGTTTTCTTCACTAGATATAGCATGATCCTTTTTAATACATTAACAAATTCATTATATTTGTTTCTATAGGCGAATTCAGTTGTGAGATTGAGTCCAACGGTAAAGTTCATCTCCAAGGATCAACCTCTGGTGGAGGGACTATTAAGAAACAATCCCCTGTATTCCATATGACATTCCAGCAATTGTGCCCGGCTGGACCCTTTACACTTTCGTTCAGCCTGCCAGGACCCGTTGATCCAAGACTGTTCTCACCAAACTTCAGACCCGACGGCATTTTTGAAGCTGTTGTGATTAAACACGAGTCTTAGTACACGGCGCTTAAAGAGTTATAATATGCAGGTAGTTCAAGAATTGGTGAAGGCGGAGTGTGGTTATTTCCTGAAGAATTTTGCCTTGTACCATTTAGTCATTCAATCGCCATGTATGTGTATTTTGCTAACATGATTTTTTCTTTTATTTGAAAAGCATATTTTGCTAACATGATATCTCTAACTGAAGGGGAAAATGAAAGTTTCTTTATCACTTTGTGCAGTTTCTCTGTTAAATCTCTTGACATGGAAAGAAAAATTGCCTGGTTAATGACACTATTGGCTGTAGCCGGGCAATGACTAGTAATGAAGTGGATCGCCGGAAAGACAAGAAAGTCAACAACCCCGCGGAAGTAGTGGTGGTGAACTTGAAAATAACCGTGGGTGTAGGCTGACGAACATCAAAACTAAAGCTTTTAACACTCTCCCAAAAAGTAGAACTTTCGGTCTACTCAGATAGGAAAGTAAAGCTCATGTGGAAGCTTCAGTCACAGGTGGGGAAGCAAGAGAGAGAGAAGGAAGCTTGGTTCGACCAGATATTTTTCCTCATTCCCTCGGAAAACTCTCATGCTGATGGAGATCCATCCGTTGGGGCATCATACCCCACCCACACCCAAATCAATGCTCGGCTACCTTGTTTCTGATGACTAGTTGGGATGAGACTTTCCAAAAAGACGAGGAAGATGACGGAAGTGGAGTTCGGATGAGGGGTAAAACCGTCATTGCAACATGTAAGAAATGATAAACTGAAAGTAGAGGTGGCGCCCGCACTTTTGACGTGGACATCCCAGTGGGATGTGTTTTCCTAGCACTGCTGCTTGTTAATATTTAAGTGATAACCCCAAGTGCGAAGTACGAAGCGATTGATTCGAGAGGAGAGGACTCTACCGCAGCCAGCCGACGGGCCGCCGAGCGCCTCCTCATCCTTTCTTCCTCCGCTCATAAAGGTGCCATTTTTTGGATTCATTTTCGTTTTTGTTTTTTTTTTGGGATTGTTCATACTTGATACTCGAGAGTTCATTGTAAAATCTGTGCGCTTCTGGTAGCATCGAAATACCATGTTTATCTGTATTTGGTTTATACAGCACCACCACCAATTCACCATGCATATGCTCCTCTCTGCTTGGATCTTCTATCTGTTTCTGTTGTTATGAATTGATATTCCAAAGCGTTACCTTGTTTGATATCCAATCGATGTGCAATTGAACCCAACCCCCAACCCACCCCAAAATCTTATGTTTTCTGTGTCTGCCCGTCTGCAGCTTATGTTAGGCACGCACCCTCATCGGCATTTGTTTGCCACTAAATATTAATCGTATCGTGTTACCCTTCTTGCACTCAAATTGCTTTGGCTCTAGTCTTCTTCTTCTTCTTCTTCATCTTCATGCACCAGCAACCACGCCTATCCCTTCTGTCTGCCTCTTTTATTAGGTTAATACTGATTTCGTCAATATTTTCTCAAATCTCCTCGAGTTGGTTCCAAAAACGCCCTACGCCTTTTCGTAGTCGTGTATTGTTCCAAGTTTGATAAAATTCCTAGAATTTTGTTTATTGATTTGTATGGTTTTCTCCTTTTGTTCTTGCATACTACTGTTTCCAATAAGAAGGGGGCAATGCATGCATGGCTTCATCATTTGGATCTCTACGTGCCAATGTTTGTCCTTGGACACAACAGCATCTGCTTCTACGCAATTGATATGTTCTGTCTTTCAAGATCAAACCTTTTCATAGTACTTTTGAATCTGTTTACTCTTCTCATGTGCTTATATAGGATTATTTTCAGCATAGTTCACTTATAAAGCTTGCCATATTATTAAACTTGAGAATTTTGGAAACCTTTGTTACATCAAATATGGATTTGATTTGTCTTTTTTTCCCCTCAATTATGTGCAAAATGCTTTAAAATCAAATGACATCTGGAGGATAGTTGACCTTTTCCCATAACGGAAACTCTTAAATAATTTGACTTATGCTTTTTCATATTGTGCAGCGAGCAGTTATGTTAGGCACGCACCCTCATCGGCACCTGTTTGCCACTAACTATTAACTGTATTGTGTTACCCTTCTTGCGCTCAAATCGCTTTGGCTTTAGTCTTATTGCTTCTTTCATCTTTTCAAACATGCACCAGCACCACGCTTATCTCTTCAGTCTGCCTCTCTTATTAGGTTAGGTTAATGCTGATTCCATCACTATTTTCTCAAATCTCTTGGAGTTCCTTCCAAAATTGCCCTATGCCTTTTCTCAATCATGTATTGTTCCAAGTTTGATAAAATTCCTAGAATTTTATTTATTGATTTGTATGGTTTTCTCCTTTTGTTCTTGCATACTACTTTTTCCAATAAGAAAGCGACAATGCATGCATGGCATCATCATTTGGATCTTTACATGCCAATTTTTGTCCTTGGACACAACGGCATCTGCTTCGAAGCAATTGATATGTTCTGTCTTTCAAGATCA